TTTCTGCCTTTGGTATTAGTAGAACTTTTAAGGACAGCGGTTGGGAGGAACTTTTAATAGAAATATTTTTAGGGTGGTTTTATTTTATTTCTGCCTTTGGTATTAGTAGAACTTTTAAGGACAGCGGTTGGGAGGAACTTTTAATAGAAATATTTTTAGGGTGGTTTTATTTTATTTCTGCCTTTGGTATTAGTAGAACTTTTAAGGGTAACTGCCTTCAGACAGTGAAAGGTAGTAGGAGGTGAGACGTTGTGGGTATAAGCACTCAACTCTGCACCCTTAACTGATTTTGCATGATTGCTAACTAATTTTTCATCAGCATTAGGATTTTGTCTGATAAATGGGATATCCCCAACGCTTTTGGGAGCTATCACTACAGACAATTTCCAATATGACTGGAAATTACAATGGACTTTATAAAATACTTTTAAGGCTTATATTATATAATCGTATAGTTGTAAAGGTAATGCTGATTTGATTTGAATGAGAATACCAAGCACTGAAGCAGAAAAGCTTATTCTGAATTATTATTTTTGTTAAATATGTTACGAAAAAAAACAAGTAGAATAACACATAACTTTGCCCCTACTGAATGACCCAAAATTTGGAGGGAGGCAATTATGTTAGAATTTCTTCAAAAATAAATTTAATTTTTAAGAATATTTTAGTAAAAAAAAGTGCTAATGTTCAAAAATGCAGAATTGCTTTTTTTATCTTTTTTTCTGTCTTAAAATGCTTTTTATATTTCAAACATAACTAGCAATTTAATCTTTTTAAAAAAACTTAAATTATTGCATAAAATATACTCAGGTTTCCCACGTATACAAATATTTAATAATTATGGAATACCATATTCCATAATTAACGAATATTCTTAACGAGTTTTTAATGATTTTCCAGGAAAGACAACTTGCTCTACATCATCGCCTACCCCTGGGCTCATACTTATTAAAACCAGTACAAAGAATAACAAAATACCAACTGTTATTAACAGTGAGTATGGGTGTTGTGGAACAGAATTATCACTGAGTTTTAGCTTTACATTACTTTAATGATGACTTTCAATTTTCAGAATCCTTCTCACAGTTACGAGTGTTATGGAACTGACTTTCACTGAAAATATTTTTGTTATATAGTAGTAGTGACATAATACTTTACTTTTGTATCAAATTTCCTTTTCTTGGCATTTAGTAAGAGCATGAATAAGTCTCATAAACTTTAATGAAAATTGTTATACTATAAAATAAATACATAAATGCAACTATTATTTTTATGTTTTTGAGCAGGTGGAAGGGGTGTAATTTTTTTTTAACAAATGTAGAATATCATAATTAATGCTTCTCTTTTTTGTTACTTATTTTTAGCTGTTTTATAATGTTATTTAAGTATCTTAAAATTGGTGTTTTTCAAAGTTTTCATTTTAAGTTTTATGTAGATACTTAAAAATAAGTGTTTTTTGGAGTTTTCACTTTTAATATTCCAGTGATTATACTAATATACCATATATTCTCTACACATTAATATCTCTTATGGGAGTAATAAAAGGTACAAAACTTAGTACTTTTTCTGTTAAAGATATGTGTACAGGAGCTAATATTTTATATAAAATTATAAGAACAAACTTATCACTAAAATATGAAATGTGTTCCTTTTCCTTCAGAGTAATATTCCAAGGCAATGTAGTCATAAAAGTAGCTACAGTTTGTATGTCCAACTGTCCATTTCCAGTGTTTATTGGAAAAACATAACTTAATTTTTTTTATCACAAGTGTTTAACTGTTAAAACCAAAAATCAGAAGCCCTAATCATAATTATAACTGTGTTCATATGTGAACCATATGATAGTTCTTGCATCATTTGACTTTTCACCCCTGAAGAAAGGTTCTGAAAATTAAAACTTCTCATTAAACTAATGCAAAGCTGAAACTCAATGATAGTTGATAGTTTTTAGTGTAACTTAGGGCATTTGAGAAGTGTAGTCATGTGGTATCTCTTTGAAATTATATTGCCTTTTTAAATATCCGTAAAATAATTGTTAAGTGCACCACACGCAAAATATAATAATAATGTTGTTGTTGAAAAGATTCACCCTCAACACAAATTGTACAGTTGCTTTAGTCTAGAAGTGGTTTGTATATTCAAGTTTGCCCGAAGAAAAGCAAATGAGCTTAACTGGTGTTATATGAATGTAAATGCTTATGAAGTAGTGAAATTGAATCTTTAAAAGGAAAAAATAAAATAATTTATTGCAATAAA